AGGCAGCAGCCCCTTGAGGCAGCATCGTCCCGGGATCCTGGGATGTGCTACCGGGGCTGACGGCAGGTTGGGTCCCTTTGCAGCTGGCTCATCGCGATCCTGGCCCAGGCCAACCCCCTGTTCGGGCCGCAGCTGAAGAATGAGACCATCTGGTATGTGCGCTTCCTCTGGGAGTGAGCAGTCCCTGGAGCTGGCACCCGAACAGAGACCCCTCCAGCCAAACTATCACCGTGAGTGGGCAGAGGGCTGGGGTAGCAGAGGTGCCCCCACTTGCCTGCCAGTGTCTGGCTGAGGAACGGAGCTGCAGCCTGGCCCTGGATGGGTGGGAGATGTTTTGGATGCGTTGTGGTGGTGATGAGCTCGTGTCACTGTGGGGCTGCTGAGCAAACCAAGCACTTCAGCACAAGTCTGGGAGCTCTCTCATGGGTGCAGTTTAGTGCTAATTTCTCCTCTTTTCTCCCTCCCCCAGCTCTTGCTGCTGTTCCAGCCTCTACCCTCCTGTACCAGGCAGCCCCCAGAGGTCCTGGGACAGAGGCTGGACCTGCTGCCCCAGCACACCCTGAGCACTGCAACCTGGACCAGTCTCTGAGCACAGGAGGCAGCACCCCAGGTTGCGGGCTTAGTCAGTCTGGCCCTGGGAGCAGCCACGCTGCCAGGGAGAGATCCCCTCAGCTGGCTGAGTGCTGTCCTGAGGGGGATCTCTGTGTAGTGCCAGTGGATCCTGTCCCTCCTGTACACTCAGCCCCCCAGGTGAAACCCCTGCTTATAGCCCAAACTGCCCAACTAGTTGCCATATCCCTGGTCATTTCAGGCACCGGCTGCCCCTCTGCATGAGCAGCAAGGAGCCCATTGCATCCTCTGTTGTGTGGTCAGTCCCCTGTGGTAGGGGTCATCGTTGCTTAGATTCTGGCTGTGGGAGGGAGAAGGGAAGGCAGAAGAGCATGTGAACTCCCTTGGATGTGATGAGGGTGGTGCTGGGTGCAGGGCAGGGGGTTCCCCTGCTTGGCAGCCTGCTGCAGGGGATTAAAGAGGTGCTGTGTCTCCTCCCACCTCAGCAGTGAGGGAGCTGCAGTAGTATCATCACCACCACCCTGACCTGTGTCCAGGCTCTGAGAAGAACCAAGTAGGGTGTTGTGTTTTAGTTTCCCCTTATTTATCAGAAAAATTATCTGTATTTATTTATTTATTTGTGTTTGTTAGATTTGTGTTGTGGAAATAAATCTTTTTTCTAGTAAGTGATGCTGGAGGCAGAGTCACTTGCTGTTTTGAGGCTGAGGAACAGTCTTGGCTTTATTCAGACTTCCTTCCTAACCCTGCTCTTTTGCACCATGAGAACAAGGATCCGCAGCTATTGAGCAGGAGATTGGCAGCACACCGGTGCATGGAAAGTTTTCTCCTTCATGGCACCTGTGCAGTGGTCCTGTGGGATCAGGGTCACACACAGGCAAGAGTATGTGCTAGAGGGAGACTTGGGTACCTGACCAGCCTCACTCATGGTAGGCTCCTGTGCTGGGGCCATCCCTATGGCTGTGCAGCAGCTCAAGAGCTTAGTGGCCTCTTTCCCAGGTAGCTCCATAAGACTGGGGTGGGGAGTAAGGTAAAAAGCAGGGAACTACATCTTCCATAGGCTCTGAGTGGCCAGGCTTTTCGTTTTAGGGGGAGGGCAGCAGAGGATGCTGGCTCCAAGGATCAAAAGAGTTCAGTTTGGATTAGAGCTTCCCTTGCTGCTACCAGCTTGGAAGGTGAGCTCAGCTGTCCTGCTGGAATCACAGAGAACACAGGGAAGCAAGCAGCTCCATCATCCCTCCGCTGCAGCATGAAGCAGTGCTATGCAGAGTTGTGTTAGCCCCCCATCATGCCACAAGCCAGGAGCTAAAAACCAAGACCCATCTCAATGGCTCAAGGGGTTTGTTTATTGCTACAGGAGTGGGACCAGCTGAGTTCAAGTAAAAAGTGACAGACTTCATTTGGTTCATTGCCAGGCTGCAGCCCCAGGGGAGGAAGGCTTGTGCCTGTGCACAGCTGGGCTGGAGTGAGGTGGTTCCCCCAGGGGCAGGGCCAGCCTGTACTCATGGGGGAGAGAACCATGGGTCCTGATTTGTGCCTGATTAACGTGGGGCTGATGTGCCCAGGAGGGAATGTATGTAAGGAAATGCAGACACCTTGTCAGTGCCTTAGGAACCAAGCCCTGAGCCCTCAGGGCTGAGCCTGGGACCATGGGCGATTATCCTAGGACAGGGAGACATGGCAGAGAGCAGGACAACTCTTCAGGAATGCTCTGAGAGGGGTCGGGCTGGGCAGAGCAGAACAGCTCATTGGAACTCTTGGCTCACCTGCATCCTGCAGTAACTTTGCTGGCCACTGCTGTTCTTCAGCCCATGGGCTTGTCAGGCACTGCAGAAGGGCCACCCCGTTCATGAGCTACAGCACCGCACCAGGTTGCTCTGCAAACCAGTGATCGAGTCACGGGGTAGGCCTAGTGCTTCAGGCCACAGCCCTGCATTGGCCACCTCTGTGACAGCGTCTTGTTTATCTGAGGGACCTGCTGGGGCTGCAGCCTTGAGCCTGCTGGCAGCAGAGGACTTTGCTCTACACTATGTAGCAAGGCAAAGGCCAGAAACCAAGGAATGCAAAGATTAGGTCTGGGGCAAGGCCGAGAGCCAGGTTCCACTGTCCGTAGCTGCCTTAGCCCACAGGCTCTGGTTCTGATGTGGAGATGATAGAGTGCAGAGTTGAGATGGTCTTTAAGGAGGAGTCCAAGCCCTTGGAGTCCAGGCTGTGAACCAGTCCTGGTTCTGCTGGTGCAACTGGACGGTGGGTACCACCAGTATCATGGCCCATTTCCCTGGCCCAGTGGCACCACCACCTTGTCCAGCCAGAGCAGGTTGAGCTGGGCCAAGCGCAGCTGCCGGTGGTGGATGCGGCGCAGCCACAGGAGGTAGAGGACTATGGCCAGTGCCACGACCAGGATGCAGGCGAAGAAGAGATAGTGGTTGTAGACAAAAGAGAGGCGCAACCAGGAGGCGTGTGTTTGCCGGATGCTCTCCTGACGGAGATCCCTGTGGAGAAGAAGGCCAGGACTGGTCTGGGATGCCATGGGGTACTACCAGGGTCTATGCCACCGTTCCCCCGGCCAGGGGTGGCAGAGCCCTCACCTGATGTGGTAACTGCTGCTCCTCCCCAACCACCCTTCCCTGAGCAATGACATCAGTGAGCCAATGGTACCTGAGTGGCAGAAACCGTGTCTTGTAGAGGCTGGCTCCCAGCGTCCACTGCACCTCCCGGTCGTACACCAGCTGGGCCGTGCGCAGGCTCGGGTAATCCAGGGGGAAGCTGAAGCCCTGGTGAAGAACTTGGTACATCCATGCTGATTTGAAGCACTGATACCTGCAGGTGTGGCATGGTCAAAACCAGACACTACCACCCTCACCACAGCAAAAGCCCCCACAGGAGTTCCAGCCATAGCACCCCCAAAGCCACTTACTTCAGCCGGTGCTGGTCAGCGTGAGCCGAGTAGAGGCCACCACGGAAGCGCTGGGTCAGCACCTCCCATCGCTGGCTGCAGTATTCCTGCAGGAAGAAGAAGCTGGGGCTCAGAGCAGAAAGCAGCCCCAACTCCTGCCCAGCCCTGGTCTGGGGCAGCACGCACCTGGGCAGCAGAAAAAAAGTGGCCCCCCAGGCGCAGCACATCCTCAGTGCAGTAGAAGAACTCAGAGAAGCCATAAAACTCGCTGTTGCCAAAGTCAATGGGTGCTTTGTAGGCCCCCACTAGGGAGGCCTGGCTGCTGTTGGGCCCAGCCAGGAGGGGCTGCAGCAGCTCCGCACAGGCCGGCCAGTCCCCTCGTCCCCGCACAAACAGGGTTTGGCCGCCTCTCACCACCGTGTCCTCCAGCCCCACAGGCAGGCAGGGGTCCAAGAAGGGCATCTCGGGGCTCAACCCTATCTGCTGGCCTTGCAGGCTGGAAAACAGGCCAGGGAGGAAAGGTAGTTGCACAGGAGTCCTATACCACCCCCCAAAAGCCTAGTCTAGTGCTGTTCCACATCCAGATACCTCCTGCACCAGCCCATGCCTTGTCCCCTTGTACCCCACAATGCTGGCGCCCACTCTGCTACCTCCTGACGAGGCCAGATTAGCCTGATCTGTCATGCTGACCTGCGGCCACAAGCCCTGAGCACCTGCAGGGTGCAACAGGGCACAGCCCACCCCACCCAGCTCACAGGGATCTGGATCCCTGCACAGCCCCTGGGGATCTGGAGGCAGGGTTTGCTCCTGGCACAGGAGTACCTGGGCACTAAGCCTCTCCGCCTCTGGCAACAGCTTCATGAAGGGAAGGAGAGACAGGAGAGAGAGCTCAAGCTGGGGATGCGATGGAAAGATGTGCTGAGTGAATCGGTGCTGGAGAAGGAGGGAAAGTCAGAGCAGGAAAGGCCGAAAGCCACCAGAGGAGCCTCCCCACAGCCTGCTGCGAGAGGAGGAGGAGAAAGGCAGGGAGCTGCACTGCTGATAATGCCTGCCAGGCTTGGAGAAGGGCAGTGCCCATGCACCCTGTGCCAGCTACACAACTGCTGCCCATGTGGCTATGGGAGCTGGTATTGTCATGGGCGGCCCTTGAGGCAATGCGATAGGGAGAAGGAGTCATGAAGGAAGCAGCACCCCATTTCGCAATGCCCCAGCAGGGACACCGCTGGGTGAGGCAGCAATACCGGTTGTGAACATAGGTCTGGTTCAGCACAAAATCCTCGTAGCGCTGCCGGGCAAAATTGCCCCCAAAGCCCAGGAAGGTGTTGACGTAGACACGATACACGTGGCCGGTGTGCTGCACGTCACAGCCCAGGTTGAATTCCGCCAGCAAGCTCTTAGCAGCCTCCTCCTGGGGACACAGAGAGGTCTGTGATCAGCAGCGGCCCAGGGAAGGCAAGGGCTGCTCTCAAGGGCACATACACACCTGCTGTGGGGAGGAGAAGGCTCCGGAGTCAGGCACTTCGTAGGCAATCTGCAGGGAGGCACCCCCCATGTCTAGGATCCCAACTGTTCGTTTCCGAACCAGGGACTCTCCCTTGTCCCCCAGTGCTACAGTGACCACCGCATCCTCCTCTGCAAGCCACAGCAGCGTGTCAGCAAGGACCTGGGGTGGCATATTCTTCCCTCCACCGTTAGCCCCCACAGCAGCCTCATGGGGGTCCTCCACCCCTGCAAGCAGCCCCCGAGGATCACCTGCGGGGCAGCAGGTCCTGGCACTCAGACCTGGCCACCCCCCAGCTTTGTAGGTTCCCTCAAAGCGTCTACCACTGGAAGCCACTACAGGAACACTACAGACCTTCTCTCCCTTGCTCTTCACCCAAAATGCTGCAGGTGCCTCCCTTAGAGGGACTTGTTCCTGTGACTGGGGCAGGTACCCCTCTGGGTCCCAGGTCCAGATGAGTTTCACATGCATGGCTGGGGGGTCAGGCACTGCATGGTCAGAGGGGCAGGCACTGCCTGCTCCAGAGCTTGCTCTTAAGCAGGTTCAGGTTCTGCTCAGACCCTCCTAGTTGCTCTACAAGCAGCCAGACTCACCGTCCTCGTGATCAAACCGGCCCAGGACAAAGTTGATGCCGATCCAAGCATAGACACCTGCACGAGATAGAAAGGGTTGTTACAGCAATATACTAAAGGGAACCAAGCAGTGCTTTGCAGTAGCTCCTACCTTCCTGTTTCCCTGAGATCACTTCTGCATGTGATTTGGAGAAGAGGAAATCAAACTCCTGGGGCACATTTCTCACCAAGTCCTCCAGGATTGCAGCTTGCTGCCTGCAAGGGCACAGGAGAGGGACATTAACCAGGGATGCTTCTTTGCAGGAGCACAGAAGACAGTGGGAATCCTGCTGCAACACACCCCACGTCCAGCCCCATGAGCCCTGCTGCTGCCCCCAGTGCACTTTGCAGATAAGAAGCTAGATCAATTCGTTTGAGACTTCAGTAAAATGTGTCTCCTCTCAGCTACCTCCCAGCATGCTCAAAGCACATCCTTTTCTTTCTCAAATCCCTGACAGAAATCCCAGTTCTCCCAATTGGCTCAGAACACGGTAGCATCTTCCTCCCCGTGGCTGAGGGATCCCAGTGTGTCCCTGGCTCCCCCAACAAGGGACAGGAACTCACCCCTCAGGCAGCAGCCGCATGCCTGCCGTGCACAGGATGTAAAGTGGAGTCTCCTTGTGCTTCACGTGTCCGGCCGGAAACTGAAGAAAAGGCCGCAGGTAGGGCGTAGCTTGCTCGGGGGCCGCTGCTGCTGCCATGGAGATGCCTGCCCGGGGAGGGGATGCCGTGAGCCGGGCAGCGGCTGGTGCCCATCCCACACACGGGGACCAGGAGCAGTAGCACTGACCTGGTTTAATTTTCTTGACAACGGGGCGGCTGCTGCGGTCCCTCATCTGCCTGATGTCCAGCAGGTCGTGCGGGTTCCCGTTGTGCGGAGGCCAGAAGTACACAAAGACCCGGGA